TTCACTTCTTTATAGGTTTAGGCTTAAAAATCTGTAAATCTCTGTTTCTGTAACAGCATCTTCTGCACACAGTTCGAACTCTTCTCTTTTCACTCAGTTATCCCTTGGAGAATATGAATTTTTTATAACAATGGTAGAAATGCCCCCAACAGATACAGCCTCTCATCTGGGTAGGGAGGATTACTCAGAACTGGCTTCTGTGTGGTGCAAGACAGCACACTGATCTTGTTTGGCACATCTGTTTGCTATTTCACAAGCCATAAAAATACAACAATTGGGATTCCTCCTCAAAAATAAAAGCCCAGGGAATAATTTTTAGAGTACCGAGAGAATACAATGAGCATTAGTGCAGTACACAGCTAGCTGGAATTGATTTTGTGGCATTTATGGCCATACATTTAGAGGTAATTCCTAAAGGACATATTTACTCAGAATTAATGCAAGAATGCAGTCACAAACTTGTTGCTTTGGAAGGAAGACAGCTAATTACAGAGTACAAGCATAGGGCAAGGAACCTTCCTTTTGCATTTTAACTATGATCTCATGTCACGAACTATAAACCCATTCAGCTCAGCTGTAAGTGATCCACTGTCTGATCACAAACCAAGAAGGGTCTTTGTATTCTTCTTAATAGGCACAGGAGAAGACTAATGAAAATTACACTGGTAAAGTGTGCAGGATTATCCAATGGCTTTTTTTTTTAAGATTGCAAACCAAACTCTGTGTTGCCACTTATGCAATATGTGTCTATATCAACTCATTGTAGCGAAACAGGTAATTGTAGCTTGAGATTTACTGAGCACATACCCAAAGGCTCTCAGATTTTCAAATTGACTCACAAATCCTCTACACCAGAAGAACTGTGCTTTCATCTGAGTTTTATACTGCTTTAAATAGGTAAGTCTCAATTTAGTACTCCAGTGAAATATTGCAAAAGCATTTATTATTGCTATTTTTTCAAAATAAAGTGTTAAGTGGCACAATTCTTATGCTGAAAGCCTAAATGGGTCCTTCTATTAAGAACATTAGTATATAAATTCACTTGTCTTTTCTTGGTAGTTTGCATGACTTGTGTTGATAAACTGATTGATGAAAATACAGACCAGTTTTATTTCTTGTGTACACAATTTTGAGTAAGTTGATAACAGCTGCACATAATTCTCAAAATTTCAGTATACAATTCCTCAGTGTGTAATTAGTGGTCCTCCTATGGCAGCTTTTAAGAAAATCCACTTCTGGAGAGTTTCAGGGCTGCATAGACTGGAGACATTTTTATGCTTAAGCTTTGAAAAGTAAGAAAGTGAAGAAACACACATCAAAGGAGATGTGACTCTGTATGCTTGCTGCCAAGCACAAGAAGCAAACATTTCAGGACAGTATACTTCAACACAAAAAATAAAATTTAAAATAAATAAAGAAAAAATTAAAAGGTTACTGAAGCTCTGGCTTTGACTTATGAAGCCAACAAGTCTGGTTAAAAGATACATCAAAAGCTGTAAGATTTCTGGATCTGGAAAAGGATCCCCTAAAATGATGCTGTACATACTATGCAGACTTTGCAAACTCCTGTGATGAGGGGTTGCCCAAGTTTCCCAGAGAGCAGTGTATTTTGCTGAGTATTTTGGTCTTCATTCTTCATTAGTCAGCTTACCAGCTTTCTCTCCCTCCTCAAAAGTCAAACACAGAAAGAGATGAGGGTTGGTGTAAACACAAGGCCTCTTTATTTTGTTTCAACATTACTTCCCATTTAGCATGACCAAAACCAAGCAGAACAGTGGAAATCACATACACCATTTTTCTTAATACATTGCTCTTCCTTGAAACTGCATGAGTACAACAGGAAGGATAAATTCAACAATATTAACTCCAGTTAGGCATTTTCACATGTGAAAGTACCAGAGCTTATATACAACAGGTCACAAGCAGACAAATCAAAGACCAGTATCAGGAAAACCTACTCCAGTGAGATGTGAACTCACCTTTGGGGAAAGAGTTTGTCTTGAAGCAAGGGATGCAAACCTCCTTAGCTAAGAAGTATGTGCAAATGTTTTTTAAAAACTTTATCAGTAAAATTTGTTAAAGGGGTACAAAACCCAGCTTCAAAGCTGCAAGGCCAGACAGGATGCAGTTTAAAGCCTTCAGCTGTCACTAACGCTAGCCCCATCTCCTAAAGGCTTATCTCCAGGGAATTTTTTTACCTAACTGTGCCTAGGAGCCCCTGGCTAAGGAAAGCCATTGGTGATTTAAGTGCAAATCATGGTAAAACATTTTTAAGTTTTTGTCAGCTGCTCATGGTTTATGTCTTGGTCTTGGCTGAGTCTAATTGTTACCAGTTGACTCAAGTCATTAAGAGCCAAATCACTGAGTCTAAGAGCTGTGCAAACGCAATAACACCTACCTGGAGGGACAAATATTTTGACTGAAGCATTAGGCAGTTAGTGTAAGTAAGACTGCCTTTCAACCTTATCCTTCTCCCAGCTTCATTTCTTCAGCATAATTATTTCCAAACCAAAACCAAGTATATGAGAAACCATAAACCAAAGCCAGAATTAAAGCTAATACACACTTCTGAGTCATGACAGTGTAAAGAAGTGTGAATCTACGCATGGCTATTGCATTCAGTTCTACAGAAGTGACTGCCTCTGCAAAAGCCACAGGGAACCTCCTTGGTTGGAGCACAACTCTGCTTCTGGGCATTTTGTAAGAAAGAATTTCCACTCAACTTTCCAGGAAACTGCCCTCCAAAAATATTTCTCAGCCTTTAGACAAAAACTAGCGGTTCTATTAACCTTAAACAGCAGATTGTTTTTAATGTTGCTAATGTCCTTTTGGCTTCCCAGGAATTGTTTCTGCTGTTTTTGTTACTCTTTTTTGTACAGAGAGCCTTGCAAATGTAATTTGCTAGTTTCTTGTTGAGAGAAGCACAAGTTGTTGCACATATTGCGCGAAGCCTCAAAAGCCCCACAGCTTTAAGCCAAAGCTCCTAGAACTTAAAAGTTCAGTACTAGATACATGATTGTGCAATTTAAAATGTGCTGTGGTCTCTGCAATATGCTTAACTTCAAAACAATCTGATTTTTAAAACAGCTTGTATTTAGTCACTTCAGTCACACCAGAGGTTTAGCCTGTGTTGGACTCAGTCAACAGTTACATGACATGGGATGGTGTCTGGGGCATACAGGAACAGAGATTCTTCCCTGGGATCAAACTAATTCTGCCTCTGTCCTGATCAGTGCCAAACATTTCATTGGACAATTGTAGATAAAACAAAATGTGCCCTTGAATTACCTTTCTTCTGGAGTTCTTACAGGTAATTCTGATTTAAATCTTGAAGCAGAGGTTGAGAGGTTTTAAACTGCACTGTGAGCAGGTACAACTATTTGAGCTTGTATTATTAAGCATGTAAGCAACTCCTTTGGAAATCTGCCCAGTTTTTGGACCTCAATGACTTTCTGAAGGAATGAAGTCCACGAGTTAACAAAACATTGTCTGAGAAGGTATCTTCTTTAATGAGTGTTTCCCACCTAAAACTTCACTGACGTCATCTTCTTTTTATGAGTTCCTCTAATCTATCTCATTTCTGCTTTGCAATATTTTGTATTCTGCTACCACTCTTTTCAAATCTCTTCTGCAATTAATTTTGGCCCTGTCCTTTCTCCAATTTTCAAAATCTCTTGGCTTTTCTTTCTTCTTTTCTACACCATAACTTTCCAGATGAATTGACCCCTGCAGATAAGGGCTGTAGATAATAATAAATAATAAATAATAATGGCCAGTCTTCGCGAGCGAAGATTTGGGAAAGGTCATTAACCCTTCGAGCCTGCGCAGTGGATTTTTTAGGTGAGACACAGCGTGCGCTGAACTGAGCCCACCCTTTAATCCTGAGGTTCATCTGCCGGGGCCGAGTGAAACTCAGACAGTGGCAGTGAGGGCTGTAGATAAGGCAACACCATTTATTCATACAAATATAGAATTTTAAAAGCCATCCACCATCTGTTATGGATTGTTCCTGGAAATGTTTAAAAGAATATTTTTAAACAGCTTGTCTGAGCTTTTTTCTTTTAAAATTTGAATATTCTTTGAAAGAATTTGGGCCTTTTGTTTTTGAAGACTTATGTATTCTTTTAAAATTAATAATCCAGAACAGTTATGTTCACCTTTGCTCAGTAAAGCCATAGATATTTAGCAAGAATTTTTATTACTTTTTGCTAACTTGCATTGCATGATCACAATTAAAATATAAAAAAATTCTATTTATCTGAAAATATTTTTAATTAAAATGTTTCTCTTCAAGTTCATAAAATCATTATAATTTTTCCATTCATGAGTGAATAATCAGGCACACACTTTTAAACAGGGTCATTTTAAAGTTCCTTTTTCCAACAGTAAGTCCACTTACCAAAACTTTCAGTACAGTGAACAAATACACATTTTTTTCCCCTACAAAGCCATAGGATTGCACAAAAAATACAGAATAAATATAAACATTAGGCCAAGGCAACATTTTAAAGTGCAGAACTCCACTTGCCACACATGAATAATTCAAATAATGCTGCATAATGCATAGGCAATTCTTACTAGTATTTCAAAACCTGAAGTGACACGATGAGATCAACATATAACAGTAATTCAAATACATTCTATTTATAATAAATAAGAGCTTATCTGACCATAGAACAGAATAAGCATATTGTCCCAACAAGCAAGCTCTTCACAATTATCCTTTTTTTCATTTGTCTGAATGGTGTGCCACCACTGAACATAAAGACAAATTAAGAAACAAAGATCTTATCCACCATCTGGTAAGAGAACTCATGGGGAGAGACATCTGGAATCTCATGATGGTATATTCTTCCAGAGGTTTCATCTCAAATCAGTCAATTTATACTGTCATATATCTGTCAATTTATACAAATTGAAAATTATCTCTTAATTTTCTTCCACATATTCATATTCATATCCCCTTAATGTTCAGTTGTCTTGGTTTAACTTTTTTTCTCTTTTTTTTTTCTTTTCTTTTCCCTTTTTTTTTGGTTTTTTTTGGTGTGAGGAAAATGCAGGAAAGGGGAAGAGAGTTGCTTCACTTTGTATTCAGCTACTAAGTTCTGTGACAGTAAGGATGGAGGGAGAACATTCGAAGTCTAGTCTCCATTAGCATTTTGCTTTGAGACAATAATGCTGTTCTGAAGTGAATTCCCAATCATCGCCCCTTACTGAACCTTGGTTCAGTTTGCAGGGTGATTTTCGTACACAAGAATTAAGCTTATTTTGGAGGAAACTACGGTGGAGGCTCAGCTGCCTTTCAAATACACTCCAGTCTCTAAAAGAGAGACTAAGAATCTGAACCCATTATTTGGCCTGCTTCAAACTGCATATACAGTTGAGGCATTTGTCCAAGGAAACATAATATATGTAGTCTTGAGTTGCACATAGTGTAGATGTACAAGTCTCAGCAGTAACTGCTTTCATCTACTGATCCTCCCCAACTGTAATAAGTATCTTGGCAATGCACACAGGTAGAGAGTCCCAAGGACCAAAACTTCTCCGTGGGATCCTCAGTGACTTTCCCAAAATTACTTCAGAGAAGTATGACTACTAAATACTTCTCTGTATGACCTAAAACCTTAAAATTTCTGTGCATAAGCCATTTTCCACTGAACAAGCTTTTGGGACTGCCTCAGATGACTCCATTTAATTGGGTTTTTTTTGGCATACATTATTTTTCCATTCAATTCTAATTAAGATGTTGCTGTCAAAAGACCCTCACAATTTATTTGTTATCTGAAGCCACCACTGGTTTTCTCAAATATCAAAGTCAGAATTCTTTTCTTTACCCCTAAGCACCTCAGCATAATCTTGGTCCTCGCTCCTCCTTGTCTTGGGCATTGCAGGGTGGTGCAGGCAGCCCATGGCATTACCTGCAGGCAGAGCTCCTCCTCCAGCTGAGATTCTTAAAAAGTTAATTTTCCACTTCTAAGTCTGGGTAAAGTCTGGATACTAGACACTAGTAAAGCTATAGGTAGCTATATAAAGGTAGGCTGAATTCCTATCTTGTTCCTGAATTTAACAAATATCCAACTGCTCATGACACAGCAAATAGTCAAATACAAAGCTCATCGGAGCAGTTATCCTAGGGAGTCCCTTTGTAACTGGGTCAGCAGTGTAGTCTTGAACTTGTCAAAGTTCTTCTGTATTCCAGTTTGCAAACAAGCAACCTCTCCACACCCACATATTTTAAAAAGAAATCCTGAATCTCTTTCTTAACAACACCACAAAATAATGGAAAAACAATTAAGTCAGAGACAGTTAAGACTACCACTAAAATAAAAGCACTGATTTAATTCATAGCTCTGGAGGCATAGCAGTAGAGCACTAGCATACATTGTATACAAGGCTGTGTGATCTTTCTTCACAACAGAAAATATTCTTGCAGAAAAGACAAAGTTGGAAACCATGTAACTGCCTAAAAATAGTTTCAAACAGTAACTGGGAGGATTAAAACATGTGTCTCACACATCTTTGGTTTTGGAAAGTGAAATCTGGTCAATTAAATTCATGTCAAAATTCATGAGAAAAAGTTCTCCCTGAATCAGGAAACCAAGTTAAAAAGCTGAAGATTGTATTTGCCAAATGACTGTGCTACTGTGTAGGTGATTGGGACACATGAGAAACAAAATGGTTGAGAAAACACCCCGATGGAATGTGGAAATCTGAATCCTTACATCTTTACTCCTAAAGCCTCAGGAATGATTGAACTCAATGGGTAGGGAGGCTGTATCTCAGCCAAGCAGCAGCTCAATGCAGCACCCTGGGAAAACACCTGAGTGAACTCTCAGTGTGCCATGCAGCTGCAGGACTGCAGGACTGTTCCCTGCTGTTTAGTAGGGCCCCTCAGCTTCAGCAAAAAAAACACACTGGGCAGACTGTACTGCTTTAAGTGCCCAAATTAGCTATTACATTTCCCCTTGATGCTATGCTGTCTTGTGTAGATATAATCATAATGATACATAGGCTCTGAAAATGCTTTTAAAATCAGAACATTATGAGTGATTTTGGGCCAAGCACTCTCTCTGAAGTAGACATGAAGTGAAACTTTGGTGCAGTGACCTCCCTTGTTTTGTGAACAGAGGGAAGTCCTATATCCCCAGGCAGTGAGATAAAAGTGCAAAACAAACTTTAGTGAAATCGAAGAAGTTTGAAGCAGGCCTTAAAACCATATTCAACCCATATTTATAGTATCTAGACACAATATTGTTCTAATGACACTGAAATTAAAGCTTACATCCTTTGTGTTGCAAAAACATAACAGAGAAACAAGAAGCAATTCCCTCCTCAAAAAAATCTTATTTAAAAAAAAAAGGCTCTGATAAAAAGTAGGGAAATACGTTTTTTTCAGGAAAGGAAGTCACACAGATTTCTAAAACCAAAAGGGCATATTTTATACCCAGAATTGTACAGAGCTGAAAGTATGACTGCCATGTTGAAAGACACAAAGAGCACAGCGGAGCTGAGCTGCTTTTTTCCAGTGACAATCTTCACCTCAAGTCAAAGGTGATAATGGCCAGAAAGAGCCCATTTCTCTTGAATATTTTTTAAATGCGCTCACTTCCCTTACAGAAAGGAGAAGGGGCATCATATCATCCCATCTGAACAGCCAGGAGTAAATGAGTTTGGGAAGATTTTGCAGGAGGTTGAACTAGATGGAGCACTCCCTCTAGTCCAGAACACTCTCTTAATTTGTTGACCATTGTGTAGCCTGCATAGATATCTTAATCCCTGCTTCTTATTTAGCAGGTTTGATTCAGCTGTCGCTCACATGAAGGTAATTCAATGAAGTGTCTGACTACAAATGGTAATTCTAAACTCTATGATAAGGACCCTGAATTATTTATAAATACACACTTCTTACTTAATTCCTCTTAAAAAATAACATTTTAAATTAAATAATTACTTTTTTCTTTTTTCTTTTTTTAAAAAGTTCCTAAGAAAAACTGGAAACTGTTCTAAATTCCCCAATTTTTTTCCATACCTGGTGATAATACTACGGAAATTGCCTTCTTTCATGATATTCCTTAGCTGCAAAATCTATTTACTAGAAGTGATTTTATTTTAATTTATATGCATTATAGTCAACGAGTATCTCATTGTTCCATATAATGCTTCCTATACTATTATTAAACAGAACAGCAGGTGTCCTCTTTAATTAAGGTATTTATCAAATCCCCTATCAATGCAAAAATGCTATTTTTGCAGTGAAATTTAAATAGAACTCTAGAACTATGACAATTTTGGTAAAGTAACTCTTGAAAGGTCTAACAAAATCTTTAATGTTTGTAAATTTTATAACATAACATTAAACAAAAATGAGATGTCATTCCTGATGATCAGGCACTGTGTTTAATCAATCTTTTCCAGATCAGATGGAGAATGATCAGCAGAGTATTTTGCAAATGGCAAATGGATTTATACAGAGCTTGAGAAAGGAACCACTTGCTTTCCAGCCACATACACTTCGGAAATATTCCGATCATCACCTGAAATAACATAGTCAAAATAGAGATTTGCACATAAATATATACACTGACTTAATTAATGAGAATTACGCAGTCCACTAAATCAGTTTTGGAATACATAATTTGCAATGACCTTCTAGGACAAAGAAAGTTTATTTGGAGAGCAACAGACAGAGCTACCACAAAGACCAAAAAATGTTTAAACTACCCATGCTTTTTTTAAGAAAGAAACATAGCATTCAGCTGTTGAAATGGTGTAATGGATTTTATGTATATTCAGTAGATTCAAACCATGAAAATATTATATATCTGTACAGAAAATGCATTATTGCACAGTATCTGAACTGGCTCAGCAGTAAAGATGATTTGCCCCAGCCAGCTTCTCAAAAAGGCAAAAAATCTAGTTAGAGGGTGACACAACTGTGGCCAGAGCTAACACCAGTTACCTCAACATAACAACACAGCAGGCAGTGCAGCTATGGTCCAGACAGTGCCCTGTAAAGCATACCTGCTCCCTTAGGGGTGGGATTATTTGGATTGGGTTTTGTTTGTTTTAAAGGCCATCATTTCTGTTTGAAAGTAGAAAAACCACAATGACAACTGGTCTACAGAAGTCCTTCTGAACTGAACTGGTCCTGAACTAGTGACTAGCATGTCAGTGTTACTTTATTGAGAAATACAATTTAGCTCGTGCTATAGATAAAGATAAATGTGGTGCAACTGATCATATGAAACTGACTATTTAACTATGTCTCAAAGATCAAAAGTTAAACCACTCAATTCTTACTCGGTATTTTAAAATATATATTAATAAATACAAGTAAATTTTTATTTATTAATTTAAAACATTAACAGTAATTATCAGGGATATGTTAATGTCAATAAGAGTTGAATAAATATACTTGGTTACTGTAAACAATTGTATATTTAATTATGTATAAATTTATTATTAATCTCTAAATTAATTTAGACAATGTTTGATGTAGGAAATGAGAATTTTATGTGGACTGAAAATCAGATCATACCTAGATACAGGAACTTCTGGAGAATGTCCTATAAAAAAAATGGGAGAAAACCAAATTCAGAAAGCAGTATCTGCTGTCCCAGATCATAATTATTCAAAGCTTGAAAGAACTGATAAAAATTGTTTTCCCAAATATTCTTAGTAATAATGAAATCAAAACTTAACATGCACATCATAATTAACTTTCAGAGGAAGAAAACACTGCACAAGTTTGATGGCATAAACAAGTATGTGCCCTTTCCCTTATTTAGAGTTTTCAAATTCACTTACTCATTGAAAAATAAGACAACACCTAAACATTTTTAGGGTCCTAACAACTGCTAACTTAGCTAAAAAGGTTTAGACTTAAACAGAAAAATAATTCTTTTACAGCATTGGAATTGTTTCCAGACAGTCTGGCCACATCAATAAATTCAAGTAACTGCTATTAACTATCTTTCTTGGTCAGAAAAGGTTTTTATATGAGAAGGTGTGTCCATTGCATGAGGCCAACACTGCTTTAACATAAAAACTGTCCTTTTAACTCAAATTAGCTGTCTTGAGTTCTTGCTTAGTTTTATAACAGCAGCGCAGCAAAGGCAGCCTAATTTTTCTCTGGGAACAGGTTGCCATTCTTCAGTTTGAACTTGAAATGTTGACTAAAACTCAGTTGCTTTTCCTTGGCTGCCATTTGTCAGTGCAAATAGCTAACTCTAATTGTCATCTTGGGCTAATAAACATGCGTTAAAGGTATTACCTGCATTTTTGCTCATGGGGTTATGGGACTGTCACTGAGGACAGCAAGATTCTGAAGAAAAAGAAACGCTGAATCTCTAAGGCTGAAGCACAGACAGCAGTGGTACAGTACATCTGATTCCTGTCACCAGAATAACTCTCAAGAGACTTATTCTGTCTGTATCATGGACCTTCCCCATAACATTTCCATTAATTTTTTTTATCATTAATCCTGTTCTGATTACCTCAAAATTATCAGCAGCGAACAAGTCAAAAGGGCTATCTGAAGCCTTCGTGTTGATTAGCAGAGCATCAAATTCTTTGCCCACCTCGAAGTTTCCAATCACATCATCTAGTCCTAGAGCTGAGGAAGAAAATAAGCTCACAAACACGTCTTCAGCACCAGCCTCTTTCCACCGTGTAAAAGCACCTGGCAACTTACTTGAGATATTCATAAGAAAAACAAGAATTGAGATGATTTTGAGGAAAAACACAAAGGAAAATTCAACAGTGAGTTTGTCAGTATCTGAATTCCTAAGAAACCTAAGAACTTAAGAAACAATCTGTTACATTGCAAAAACATTAAAACTCCAAAAGAGGCAATGAAATTAAGTCAAAGAAACAGTAAAGTATATAATAACACTCACCTTGGTATGGCAGCATTAGATTTAATTTTTTACCAAGTTTAAGCAACTTTGACGGGTTGTATAGACCTATTAGAGTAGTAACATATGATAACAAAAGAGGTGTACAGTGAGGATAACTAATTGTAATTAGCAGGAACAAAGAACAATGTGGTGTGGAAAAAAAATCATAGCCAGATCTGAAGGTCTCATACTCGCCTGTAAGGCTTGCCTTGTAGTATATTATTTATTTGTTTTTTCAAAGCTTCCTTACAACCTCTGGTTCTCAAGTCCTCATACACTGAAAACCTACATATTCATCTTCAGTGACTGGATGCTTGAAAGTGCTTAAAATACTTAGAGAGAGGCCTTTGTGTCTCTTTGAAACAAATTAGGATAGTTTTAAGTTGTAGATAGTACCAGTGAATTAAATCAACTTTTCCAATACTCTGAAACTAAGTTATCAAAGAGGATAATATCGGCAAATAACTTGTTCACTTTTTTTCAGATTGCTGTGACAAAGGAACTTCAGCCTTCAGTGAAGTTTGAGTGTGGCAGGAATACCACAATACCTTAAAGATGTTTAAACTCCTACAAATGGTGAAATATTTTGACTACCTACTAGTTTCAACTAAAATGATCTCGCATTTCTTCAGGTTTTTGAGCATAATGCAATTTTTAGATTAAACACAAGAGGGTGACAAGTGTTCAGGACTCTCAACAAAGCAAATTATTCCAATGAAGAATCACTCATATAAATTTCTGCTACCGGAATTTCTACTTCCAGTGTCCAGGCTAGTGGAAGGTCATACAAGTAATTTATATTCTACCCTTGAATATGATTCAGTAAGGATAAAACAGCTCAAAATCAATATATAAAATCACCACTTTACTAAGTAAACCTAAGAGAGAAAAAACATAAGAGTAGCTGGGAAGGGAAATCATGTATGAGTTTGGGATTTTTAGAAGTTTTCCTTTCTATGTCTCAGCTGATTTATTCTCACACTTTATGGAACAATATATACTGGGGGGAAAAGATCCCTTTTTTTTCCCTGCCCATCTTCTCTCTTCTCTATTTCCATTACACTCTCCAGGAATTCAAATATAGTCCTTAAAAGACCTGTTTGATGACATTTTCACTACATCTTTCAAACTGCCAATAATAGTTCCCAATCATGCTTTCTGACATCTACAAAAATGTTACACAGAAAGACCAGTTCTTTAGCAGGTAGTGACTTCATTTCTGCTAACTGAAATACTAATAAGTTTTCACTTACGTGTGGATTTGGTCTTCGCTAAATCATACCAGTTCCACTAACATTTTAAAATTGTATATATTAGTAGGTGCACACTGATCATGACAAAACTTGCCAGTGAACCAGGATAACCCATATACTATACGACTATTCTGCAGATACAACTGTGTCATAAACAACCACGGTGGGTATCGTTGTGCTTTTCTCTGAGTGAGGAGTGTCACGGGATGTTTTGATTTGAGATAAACTGCCTCACTGACAGCTCAAAAACCAGAAACAAAATTAGAAATTGATGACAAACAGGATATATGATCCTACAGTAATTGCACAGTTTTTCCTCTATATGATGGTTGCTTAGAAAAAAAATTTCCAGTTGGTGAGATAAACATACAACTTACGACCTTATGACTAAGAAGTCTGAGGATCTTTGCAAAGCAAATGTACAATCCTGAAAAGCCATTAAGATTGCATTATTAAACTCTCCACATCAATGTGAGTACTCTTCTGTAATAAGCATAGTATGAGTATGAGAGACTGAAGGATATCTCTGCCCACCAGATACCATTTTAAACTTCACTCCAGCACCAGGAAATCTGTGAATCTCCCATGAAGGCAGGGAGACATAACATGAAAAGCAGCTGTAGCGCTCTGTGTACCCACCAAAGAATTTTCTTCTTACCTTGGCTTCCTCCCAGAGTGGCAAGTTGAAAAGCTTCTCCAAGAGTTAGTCCTGTTTCATTGACTTTATTGATCTGAAGGCTATTAGATGCCACCATTGCTTTCCTGATAGCATCAAGCATAGAAGCGGAATATCCACCAGCAACATCTAGAAGGGATCAGACTCTTAGAAACAAGCTTTGGGTATAATTCTCTATGTTAAATTTCTATTGAAAGTTACAAAGAGACAGATGTGGTAAACACAGCAAGTTTTACCACTAAGCACTGCCTCTGAATACATAATTCCCAATAAAAGGTGTTCTCACATGCAATCAGGTGCAGAGAACACAACACAAAATCAGAAACCTGTGAAGTTGTTGTTCAAGCCCTATTTACTCTCAAAACAGGAATAAAACTCTTTGTTAATTTTTTTTTCTTTTGAAACACTTTTGGAGCAGCCCTAGATTTCAATACTATACACTTCCTTACTCTAGAATTAGTGGGGGAAATAAAAGCAGGACTACAAGTTGGAGACAGGCTGACTTCTAATACGAAGGGGTGGGCATGTTTTTGTATCTCCCAATGGTTTCCAAAAGAAACCATTTTTACAGCAAATTACTAACCTGTGCCAAGACCAAGCTTCACATTGTGTTCCAGGACCTTTCGCACATTTAAGACACCGCTGCGCAACCTGGATTTAAGAAGAAATATGTTCAAGAAGAGCGGGGCCACAGAGCCATTTTATGACAAAGGCTCTCAGAATGTGTGCAGTGGAATTGATTTATTATTTATTCTGGCTGGATACTGTTATTTCTGCTTAATAGAAAGAAGACTATATAGTCCAGTTCCCAAAACACAAGCATAGTTTGGGGGGAAGGGAGATGGCCTGAATCTGCCATTGATAGAACAGTCAAAAATATTTTTTTCCAAATAAATATTCATATAAATATAAATATAGATATAGCGACTAGACTGAAATATCACAAGACAGGCCAGAGCACACTACACAGAAGTGGATCATAATGGTTATGTTCAGTCCAATAGGTCATTTATGGTGAAGTGGGATATTACATTAATAGCATTTCAGTGGTAGTGTGGACTCAGAGTACTACATGAACAACAGTTTTATTTGATTATACATCATTCTTTTTTAATTTTTTTTTTTTTTTTTTACTTACGAAAAGTTAGAATTGGGGCAATGTGAAATTGCAGCTCCACGAAGACTAAAAAGTTTCAACTCTTCTTCAGAAAGATAACAGGCATGAGCCATCACTGTCTAAAGAAAAAGAAAATCACCAATTTACTCAATATTGCATTTACTTAAGTGGCTGTACATTTTGCTGCACTGCTTTCAATAGCCAAAAGGATACGTTACCATCAAATGAAATTAAGGTACTTCTTGAATGAAGCTCTTAAAATTCACAAGTGTAAATTGGCATTTACCTTCAATATGCCTGAGATATTCCCTCACCTTTTTTTATTTTATTAATGTAAGAAGATAGGGTGCTGACTGTTGCAGTGACTCCTGTGACCTAAGAGCTTCAAGGAGCAAAAGCAAGAATTCCCCAGTTGTCCTAGCACTGTAGTAACCTTGTGATTTATATTTTGTAGCTAACACAGAGATTAAGTAGGGGTTATCAGATACAATGGAAGAGGTATGTACTCTTAGCATGTTTCTCATTGGCTCTCTAAAGGTTGGCACCAGGTGGAGATAGATACATATATATATATGAAATAATCTTTAAGTAAAATAATGAAATTTGTTGTGTAGCTTTTAATTCTTAGCCTACATAGTTGACTTTAAAAATAAGTTCACTAGCAGTATATACAAAACATAGTATAGGATAGTATAATTTAATAGTACATAAACCAATTATTCCCAGACAAATCTAATTTGCATTACCTCATATACCAAATGCCCACTGAAAGAGAAGAGCAAGAGCTCTGTTATATCTCGCAATCTGCTGATAAAAATGAGAATGGCACAGAGGCTGTTTCCACTCAGTATCTCCTAATAGCACTGTACCCTTGCCATCTCTACTCATCAAGCTCAGTGCAGCTGAAAATGCAAGGACAGCCACGTCTTCAGTTGAGGACATACATATGGTTGTTGCTGAAGCATCTGTGCTGATCTGTACTGTTCTTTAAAAAGAAGGAAATATTTTGGCAACAGCTTCAAAAAAACCCATGCTTTTAAAACACTTTAAAAATTGATTTGATGTCTTAGTTTTGGTGGCTGGACAGCGGAGAATGTCGGAGGTTCTGTTATGCTTGTGTTTAATAGAATGGTTTTCCAAACAACCAGAAGCCTGACTCCAGAATACACCAACAACCATGATTTTTAGTTACCATTTTCACTTCTGTGCATATAAAAGTCTGACAGAATTAAGAACCATGTTTTTCCAGCACTAATATTCGCTTTAGCACACTCACTGACACATCAAATCAGCATGCATAGGACTGTGCTAGAAAACAAAGGTTAATACTGTGTACCTACTTCAGTAGTCTATATTGATTTCTCAAGTAAAAAAGGACAGTAAACAAGTAATTTATTGGGATACAGTTTCAAACACAAAAATGGCAGTTCAATAGCTAATTCCTGGGGAGTTTCCAGCTGCCCTTTATGCCTCTGGAAATTCTCTCCTAAACTTTTAAATCGACTGATATTTATGCATTTTGACTGTAGTTGAGCTGTTCATATTCACTTTTGCATGGGTTCTCCACTCTCTAATAACGTGTGTCCTGGGACTCCAACCTGTAATTACTGTGGGTTGGTATCAGATCTGGTTACATTTATCTCACCAGCATAAAGCTTTAATGAATTTCAACTCTTCAGGCCACTGTGTCTTTCAATGCTGGGCAAAGTCAGGTAATGAGATGAGAATGCTTTTGGATAATGAAGCAGTAATGTGTACTTGTCTGCATGTGAGGTTGAGACTCCGAACACAACAGGGTAGGATGCTTTCCCTTAGGAAACTGACAAAAAAATGAAGTTGGTCCTACCATAACACCATAGAAGAAATCTTCAGGCAAACCAATGTGCAAAGATATTGTAATATAAGGATAAGTGAGTATTGTCCAAGAATTACCAGCTCCTACAATAACAGCTCCTTCTAATCCCACTGCCCTAATTCTCTTTGGAGGTCTTGGAAAATGGATCAGGGACCATAAAATATGTTTATTGTTCATCTCTCCTAAAATGCTTAGGAAAACTGTGGGCTTGTCTAAAGTTCCAATACGTCAACAGAGAACATGAAACGAATCCATACTTCACCCCAAATGTCTCTGACCTTGACAAAACAATATAAACTTCTCAGGTAAATGCAGTAAACCACCATTTTCTCTATATGGATTAATCTAAGCTATGTTGTTGAAGTTTTTATGCAGCTACCTTGCTGGTTAGCAGCTTGTTTTTATCATACAAATCAGTGTAATTCTTGTACGCAGGAAACATGTTCTCCACAAGTTTGACTTCTTCTTCATTCTCACTTATGTGACTCTGAAATAAGAAAATACATAGCAGTGAAAGCTTTAAATAACATTGAACCTCACATTACAACCTTCTGAGCAACCTAGTGGTGCTAAACATACAATGATAGAAACCATTGTAAAACTACAGTTAGATCTAGTCCTTAGGTTTCTCTTTTCATCAGAGAGATCCCTGGGACGCAAAGGAGTAGCTCCATTTGTTCCTTTAAAAGTGATATGAGATGGTATGCATGTCCATCCCAGTAGTGTGGTGACATAATGGTCAATTTAGGGTTTGGAAAATGTCGAAATAATAGATAAAATAAAACATGATATGCCTGTGAGGTAAAAGAGAGAACCAGCCTACAACAGAATGGACCCTGAGATCAGGGTAGCTGATAGGCAGCTCCTCCATGTATCTGCAGATGGGTTGATTGATTATTGGCCTCAAATAAAAATAAGACCTCTCTGTACTCCCACTGGGGCATATATTTTCAAAATGTCCACTTTGTAATGAAAAAAAATCTACATGTACCTTAGCTTTAAAACAGTATATGCTTAGAACTGTATAACAAAAAAAAAAAAAAAATCATTTCAACACACCTGCAAGCTTTAAAATACCGCTTTTTTAAACACAGAAACTTTATCAACTAGAAATCCTACAGCTATATTAAAAATGTTATGTAAGATATGAAGATGATTAATACTTTTATATACTGAAATCTGTTCTGCAGAGAAACAATGGAAGGCAGGGGGACAGAACTGACTAGAGAGAGCAACCTTCAGCAATCCAAGGGTTGCTCTACCCTTTGGTACAAGGTGCCAGTCTTCCTGTGTGACCATGCACCAGGACTTGCTGAATTGTGCATCCAGCTGTGAGCCTTCTCAATTCCTGTACAAGTTACAGTGTTCTTACAGAGTATCTTTTGTAATTTCAGAGGAATTAAAAGGAGACTCCAAAGTGGAGAGGCTTAAGTGTTTTCCTGCAATCATGAAAACTCCCTGGTCAGTATGCTGTCTGTCCAAACTATTGAAATTGTATATAGAGCTCTCAGAGCTTACCTGCACATGGAGATCACGAGCCTGTGCTAAATCTCCAAGTGCACACAGCAAGTCCTCTGTGCAGGAAGGGCCAAAGCGGGGAGTTATTACAGGTTGTACTCGTGGATACTGAAAATATTAAAAAGACAGGCTTTGTATTCTACACGCACGCACGTGCACATGCGTGTGTGTATATATATATATATACATTTACGTGGCAACTACATTTCGTCTTCATTGCTTATTGCATACTGCATCCTCACCAAGTCAAATTAAGCTGTATAGTTATTTCCTTACTTTTATTAGACATTTCATCACAGAAATAGAGAATCGAAGTGTGTGTGTGTGTGGGGGGGGGTGTTTAAAACAATTTTAATGAACTTTATTAAAGAATTTATTTTAATTAGAAGTCTCTCATTGAGTCACTGAGATTTTACCAGTCTTCAGGAGCACTGGATACTTTTTCATCCTTGCCGACAGTCCTATATGCATTACCAGAAATAAGTCAGATGAATGACCAGACATTTTTCTCAGTTCCCCTTCTGTGACAATCAAGGATGTAATGATGCAAAACTGTAAGCTTCTGTAAAACTAAGGCCATTTTCTTGTTTAATCTTTTCTACTCATACAGTTTTCTACTCAAACTATCCCCATACTATCTAGATAGGAAGAATAGTGGTAGAAAAAACCAAGAGCAGAGCTACAGAGGTTTACACTTTGCACATCTAGATCAAAATTTTTATAAAAAATAGACAACAGCATTACAATTCTGCCTTTAGTCACAGGAGAGACTTGTGCAGAAGTCAGTATATGATATTTTGGATCGCAGTTTCCTGTATCATCTCCCAGATACAAGACGCTCAGGACTTTGCAGATTAGCCAACTTACTCTGCTAATAGATATCATTTAGGCGTCAAACTCAAGGCATCTGCCCTCGAATATTTTGAGATACAATGTCAAGAAAGCCACTGAAAACTAAAGGCTGATAGGAAAATACCTCCACTTGTAATATTGGAGTGTAAACATCTATGTTTACCTCAGGAGTGTGAACATGAATTTCTTTTGAAACACAGTGTAAGATATGTGTTGACCAAAATTACTAATTTTATAATGGATTACTAACTGCACTGAAAAAACACTGATTTCTGCTGGTGAGAATTTCTTTAATTAGTCTACTTATATACCACAGAGGATCAAGTGAATTCCCCCTTTCTTTAACAGAAAATTATCCTTTCCAGGAAGCCAGATATTTTAAAGTCAATAGAGAAACACACAAAACATTACTCTGCTTTGCTCTGACCACAGAAAACTGATTTTACACTGTTACAAGTCCGTTTTTCAACAACATGGCTAGCAGAACATTTTTCAGACTGATGGCATCTCTTGTACAAAGAAAGAGGTTTATTTTATTGATTTTTCATTAAGACAACAGCTTTGGACAGCATGATTAATGATTTCATATATTCACAAAATGTCTTCTGAATACAGAAGTAGATGCAAAGGAGAGCTCTACTTACTTTCTTTTCCAGCAGTTCTTTAACAAACCTGAAAAAAGGTAAAAATTAGGTTGCTATAAATCTGTGATCTATGTCATAAATTATGAAAAATATAGAAAATATATACTTGGATACCCTGTTAAACACTCCAGACATAGATCAATTTTTCACAAAAAGCTGAACCAGATTTTCAGATGAAATAAAAACAGACAACGTAATACAGTCAGAATAGTTATGCCAAATTATGCTAGTTTTGAATTTGATCCCAAATATGCAGATTACTTTTTTCATTTGCAATAATTACCATTAGACAAGTGGTAATTATTCTGTGTTCTCCCTGAAAACCAAACGCATGCTACATTAAAGGAATTGAAAGCATAATTATAAGGTACAGATGCAACATTAGAGATAGAAAAAACAAACCATCTTAAATTTGTCTGTCCATGAATTTAAACTGCAGTGTTAAATAAATTCTTTTAAAATCCAGTTTTTAAAAGATGCAGCAATATTTTATACCTCACTTACATTAGTTACAAATGTCTTTGTTCACTTAAGGAACCTTGATTTTCTGGAAATTATTATATTAATGTTAGTGTACAGATTATCTACCTTATGGAAAATACAGATTTACTTACTCTGTTAAATAAAAGGAGTTACCTCAGATACCTACAAGAAACCCCAAGCAGTCAATATGAATAATGCAGATGAGCAAATAAAACTTCCTCTGATTTTGGAGGGAGGAAGTTCTTTGAAAGCTCATTATGTTCAGTGTATTTAATTTCCAAAAACCAGACTGAGACGGTTTCTGGACAGGAACTCTGTGAATTTTTATGTCATAGTTTATATTCAGAAAACTGTGCGATTCTAATTACAATAAACATTGAATCAAATTTATCAAATATCTTCAGATGGAAAAGAAAAAAATGCTGGAGGACAGATTCACAGCACTGGAGCTGGTGCTAGATCACCAACTGGAGCTAAAATACCATAGTTCAACTTCTGCAATGACCAAAGGAGTTTGAGCCCACCCTTGTCTACCTTGGAGAGACAAAATGCAATGTGAATTCAGTATCATCTGCCTGCCTCTCCCCTTAGTGATTAACCTGATATAATAAAAGATTCACTTGAGCTGAAACTGTAACAGAAGTATAACGCTCAGATGATAAGCCAAAACTTCAGTATGGCTGTTTTCATTCTTTTTCACATTCTTTGAACAGCGTGAACATTGTTTCAAAATTGAAATATCTTTACCAAATATACCTTATACTTTGTTGGCTTATGTACTTCACTGTGAGAAAGGAAGCTCAGCTTCAAATCACTGCCTTCTGTAGCAGAAGAACAGACTTGAACATACATACTCCTTTTTCCAAGTGATTATAACTATTAGTAGCATATATTGTATTCTGGATTTCCATTTCCTACCTTTTCATTAAATCCCCTTTGACAGAAAATAGTACATTCAAATTTTTTCTTGAATTTAGATTTAATATATGAAGCACTTGGAATTGTATCTTATTTCCATGCATACAATATAAACAGTTCTGCTGGTAACTGTAAAGAACTAAAATCAGTGTAGTCCATTTTCTGAGAGTGTGGCAGATCATATTTTGTTGGGAAAAAAACCAAATAATAAAAAATCCACTAAAATATTGCCCTCTTAAAGAGAGAACTTTTTCATCTTTCTGCAATTGTATGGCTGTGATTCAGTAAGTACTCCAGATCCATGCTGAGAAGCACACAGCCCTCTTCTCTAGTCAGTTCTGGACTACTTGTGGCACATTCTCACTCAAAGCTGAGAAACATTTTTTATTAACACAATTAAAAAGGAACGAGTTGGAGGCACAAGATAGATATTTAAAAGAAAGCTATTTAGATCATTCTGAAGCTTTTAAAAATATCAGAACTGGGAGTTCTGCTGCTTTCAGGCCCATTCAGCAGGATTTGTGCTGTATTATGAAAACTGGGAATTTGTAAGAGGGAAAACAAATGTTAGTAGAGTGAAAATTATTAATACTACACATTTTAAAGATGTCTTTAAATATAAACACTGTTAGAAACTCATGACCATTTTTGACTTTTCTGTCATGCCTCTAGCATGATTTGCAAAAATAGCATAGCTACTTCACACAAGTGTCATAAGATGTTTATATTCCTCTTGGGTATTGATATTGGAAACCTTCATACAAGTAAACAAACAGTCCCATGAGAAGAGCTGTATGTCTGCTTCTGAGCAAGGGTGCAAAAGACACAAGAAACATTAAGACAGTAGGATGTCGTACTCCAGTCTTGGGTCTCCTCTACAATGGGCATTGCCTTTGTTTGATTCTCCTTCATTCACTCAGCTGCCTATTAGAATAGTTTGACTGGTGCTGTGATGCAGAAGAGGAGAACCACAGCATGTTTAAAACAGGGTATATGAAAGCTAACTTCCACAAGGAAGGAAATAGCTCAGACGATAATGGTGGCAAAGGAAGTGGCTGCCACCCTACCATCCCATGTCAGGTCACATCACTCTACACACATCTGTGAAGGGAAAAGAGGAGGCAGAAACCACACATATTCTCTCAAACCCTAAAAGGCTTCTCCCTTTCTTTGCAAAAGCCAGAGAGATGCTACTTGGGCTGTGCAGCAACTGGGTATGCAGAAATTGCCAGAACTGTAGGGGACAATACTGCTGGAAGAAAAAAACCTGTTCCTAATAAATTCACACCTCTAAGTTCTTAGTCAGATTCACATTCACTATTCATATGTATGAAAAATTTTATTTTAAAAGGTTAGGCCATCAATTTAAACATTTTACCTTTCTGTCTCTTGGACACAGTCAGCAGTAATCTCTTTGTACTGTGGCACACTGTCATTCATATCCATGCAGACTTTTCCAACAAACGCTCGTTGACCAAATTTATCTGTTGAGATGCATTAGAATATAAATCTCAGAATCACTGGTCCTCAAAAACCACTATCAACGCTTATACTGAAACATGAAAGTAAAGTCCACCCCACCTAGCTTAATTTATGATGAACAGAATTCATGCTCATCTTATCTCTAAGTTGGGACTATACATGTGACTTTTAAGGATAAAAAGGAAAAAGGAAGAAAGCAAACAAACTATATTTAAATAGGAGTTCTCCTCTTGCACATTAGTACCCAACTCTATAATTGTTATTACTGAGGACTAGATTACTGTAGTTTAACTACAACCAGAATTCATAATGGTACTATATGAAGAATGGCTGTGAAATAGAGGATGAGAAACACAAGCACCAAAGCACAGTAGCTGTAGTAGATGACTACCTTGAGATGAGAAAAAGCACAAAGATCTCAGCAAACCATCTCTCCTTAAAAGAAAGGAATGAGGTTGTTAACATGCCTCCCACACACAGTTAGAGGGAGAAAATTTTCGAAGCTATTCTAGCATCTTTCTAAAGATTTATCCATGCTAGATGAATAAATCAGAATTCATGTGCAAGACATGCATATAATATTCAATTCTAAGCTGTCAAATGTGTTTCTAAATTAAATTTCTTTGTCCACTTTTACTGTTTGAGTTGCTGAATGCAATGGCTTCCAAATTTTCCTACCAAATCAGAAAGACTAGGTAATTTTTGAATAAAATTTATTACATTTACACTTATTACATTTTTCTGCTTTGGGAGCTGTCTGAGCCTTGAGAAATCCTGCAAGAACCACAACATTTTCAAACAGGAGACATTTGCAACTGTGAACAGAAGGGAAAGATCCTGATGCAGCTTTCATTTTTCTGATTTCAGAGGGTGTGTGAAGATTTTTTACATTGATTATCTGCTACAACTTGGGAGTATTAGGACATTAATGTGCCAACATTTAGCCTTTTAAACCTCAAATAACAAAAGGTTAGAAAGAGTAGAGAGCTGCAGCTGGAGAACAACTCCAGCAGACCTAATTCAAGCTCAGTCAGCAGCTGATCTGGGAGTGAACAGACAAGCAGAAACAACAGCAGGACAGAGGCAATGAAGTGAATAAGTGTAATCAAGGTGGGGTTTGGGGACAGAGGTACAACAAATTAAAAACAAATTAGAGACAGCCAGACCCCTAGCAAGTCTGAAACTCCTAAACTCTGCTTCCTTCAACTAATATGATACATGTGGCATCCTTCAAAACTCACTGTTAGTCTTACCTATAATTTCAGCAAGAAGAAGAGAAGTATCTGTGTGAATTGTTGCAAAGTAGCAAGCTGTAGTCGTGCCATTCTTTAGAGTTCGTCTCTATAAAAAGAAATCAGTTTCAGCTGTCTGAAAAAAAAAAACAGTAAAGCTGCCAAAAAGCAGAACAGGCAGACTCATTTCAAACTGTGAGAACATTTAGTTATTGTGAAATTGTGCAGTGAAGTGGGAAGGTAAAATATAGATTTTTAATTTCATAATAGTTCTTTTAAGTCTGTGTGTTAATAAATACAAAAATTCCTCACAGAATTTTTGCAATGACTAAGCCCATAGAAACCATTCTATATTTCTTCCATCAAACAGGAAATACTCCAACTTATATTTAGATATACAAACAACTAGTCATTTTTGTTATTTCCTGGTTTTGAAAAGCTCTCCAATTTTCACAGTGAAGCACTGTTTATCTGGTGTTAACAAATCAAGGCTTTTGGGAAAAGCAGTGGTTTTCTTTTGGCCATCTGATGTGGCTGGAAAAACTAATCAAGTTTTTCTGTATCAAAACCATTTCCTATTGCCAAATACAAAGCAACAAACTTAAAAGTAAAAGTAAACTAAGCACAACTGCTCAGACTGTAATCTAATTATTTATTTAATTATACCATTTGAAAGGAGATGGTGGTTGACACCTGTTCATATTACCTTTGGAGAGCGTAACAGCAAATGAAGTGCAATTTTAGTTACATTAATTCATGATGAAATTTATAGCTTCCACTGATCTTGGGACTGATGACTATATTGACTAATCATCCAACATAAGGGTTTAAATTACATATTTGGATTCTTGCTACCAAGTAATTTAAGAATTTTCTTCTATTTTTTTTAGTGAGATAGAAGGTGAGATATCCAACACAATATTGAGAACAGCTAGGGCTAATTATCTGACAAACACGAAGCCAAGCTGTCTTTTCTTTACAATATTCAAATGAAAGTCTTTAAGGGTTCCCAAAATGAGTCTCAAAAATAACAATGTCATTACTGAGATAAACTACTTTTGTCGTTTTTAGCTTTTAAAATCCAGAATTCTCTACTTCTGGAATTCTAACAACATTGTTAAATGAAATCCAAAAACATTCTGTTTCCAAATCATCAGCACAAAGAATTGACTTTCCTAAAATTGAAGGGACCAGAGAAGGTTCCAGCTGAAAGCTGGCAAATTTCACCTAAATTATTTCTTTTGCTGAGTATAGAAAGTGTTTACTGGAAATAAGATTTTGGTTTGAAAAAAATTCACTGTGTTTTCATTACAACTCCAAAACTACAATGATACATATGAAAAAATATCTGCTCCCTGTACGTTTAGTCCTGTTTCTAACAGCTGAAGGTTATTGTCAGCCTCAATGAACACTGCAAAGTGACTGGTATTCTGTAGCTTTTGTGGGTGAAGGCATTTTCCTCCCCTTTTCGATACACATGGGGAGAGCCTTACCATTGTGTTGAAGCTCCTACAACTAACTTACATCTCTCACTGGCAGTCTCTTTCCAGATGATACTGTTAAACACCTTGCACAGTAAGTACTTTGAGGTCACTGAATGTGAACTGTAACAGAGTGTTGAGGCACAAGCTGGAAGATGAAATCACCTATATGCTTTAAGCAGCCTTATGCTTTTATGCATGGTGTCTGTCACTAGAACTTATGACCAAGCTGCTCCTACATGTTTTTATTATGGCAGATGGCAGAAAGTAATTTCTTTTTAAATTTGTGTGGCAAGGACAGTATAACTAATCAGTTCAGATTTGTTATATTATTATTTTGACAAAATATGTTGTCATAGTAATAGAAAAATGGAAAGCAAATTATGCTGGCCAATTAATTTAATATATTGAAGATATTTCAGTCCGCATATTACAGGATAAATTTCAGTCATAGGACAAAACTATTACTTTGCAATGTGACCTAGCTGCTTATTGTCCAGTAGACCTTAAAGCCTTCATATTGTTCAGAACCCATCTAGCTCTAACAAGGTCTCTCTTTGTGTCACAATACCATTGACTGACTCCATCTAAAGCCTCTGCAGTGAAATGCCCTTGCATTCCTGCTGCAAGGACCTCAGCAGTAGATATGTCTTCCTTAACCACTCTAAGACACCTCACATTTGTTGCTTTTTCTCTTTGATGTAGTCTTTGCAGAAGATAATTTCATAATAAAGGATTTTTATGCAGAAAAGGAAATATCTCTTGAATTAATATTTTTTTTTTACTAAGCTTGGTTATTTCTGCATTGAAGTTGTCTGCACCTTCTGGCTATACTAACTCTGAAAGTAGTCATAAGTGTTGGCCATTGTACTGAGAAAGGATGATAAACAGGTTCATCATTAGCCTTGTGATTAAATGAACTTTCTTGTCAACAGAACAAGACTGGAGCTAGTAAGGGTCGGCAATTAGAACAGGGGCCATCTGTTGGTTTTATCTGGTTTTCACGACATTAAACATGCTCTACTCTTTCTGCTGACCTTCTGAAAACATATCTATATTTCACAAATATGAACGTCGTCAAGTAGGTAAATGTTGTTTGCAGGACTTACAACAACTCTGGTGTATGCTTCTTCTGCAAAACCACTGTCTTGGTATTTGGCTTCTGTTGGGAACGTGTAGGTAGTCAACCACTGCAAAAGAGGCAGGTCTACTCTTGTACCAGTAAATAAATACTGAGGGGCGTGAATGTGTGTATCAACCAATCCTGGCATGAAGAATTCACTAGGGAAGGAAAATAAAGTTATAATAGTCCAAAATGTCTCAAAATGTTCCATGGTAAGTAGCTTTGTTTTAAACAAATCCACCAGAGCAAAATCCACCAGAGTAAATGGCAAGTACAGATTACCCTGCCTCTTTCAGCATCAGCCTATCAACTCCTACTGTAACTCTACCCATATCCCTTTTTCAGTATGAAGTAGTTGAATAATAACATTTACACAGAAACACATATATAAATAGCTAATTGTGAGAAAAACAATATAAGAGCATGATGAATCCAATTATCTCTAATATTGATCCAGTTTAAATAGCAACAAATGCAAACTGACTTCACAGTAACTAAAATTAATAATGGCCAGTCTTCGCGAGCGAAGATTTGGGAAAGGTCATTAACCCTTCGGGGCCAAGCAAGCTTGGACAGTGGCAGTGAGGGTCTCAGGACGTAGGTTTGTTTAGAGTGACCTTCTCTTAGATGGATTGCCTTAGGCTGACGAGCTCCATCTGCCCGGGGGGCTGGGAATCGAACCCGGGTCGCAGCGGTGAGAGTCCTGCACCCTAACCACTAGACCACCAGAGGCCCCAACTAAAATTACTCCACTGTAGAATCCACCTGAAATGGAGATGATTTGGTCACAGTCCTGCTTGCTAGTATGGATATATTTAGAATGCCTCTGACTTCCTGACCATTATATTTACAAAAATATCCCAGTTTTACTCTCTCTATCTCTCTATCCTCTCTCTCTCTCTATATATATATATATACATATAAAACTAATGAATTTTCAGGTTTAACGGAAGAACAGCCACTGTGTCTACAAATGCAGACACGGACATCAGTTAAAAAAATCTCTCCTCAGTATCTTGACAGGAAAGGCATATTTATAATGGAACTGTAAAACTATTTGTTGTCATGTAATGTTCAGGGATGAATATATTCATACAGGGATGAATATATCAACATTACTAGGAAGTTGCTATAATTGTTTTGGTTTGGGCTGAAACTCCATACTGTAAATTTCTCTCATGTCTCTTCCCTTCTCCCTGACTATTGAATGAACAGTGATTTCATCTCTTTGTAGTTCCCCTTCTTTCTGTTTTTCCTCTATTGTATAAATACCGAAAGATCTTCCTCAACCTGATCCATATTCTCAGCACCTTCCACTTTCCTCAGGCTATTTCAAGTTAAGAAAACATCTGATGACTCATATATACTATATGATTAGCCTTTCAACAAAGCATACAGATTTTTTAACAACTGATTACTAAAAGGATGCTGCAGCTAAGCCACAAGACATTTACAGTGCTGCTACAGACAAAGCATAGTCATCATGGCTAAGCTTCGCGAATGAAGATTTGGGAAGGCTCTATCCACATTTGTTACAGGCACGCTGGTGGCTTATGAGGCCAATACGAGACAGACATATCCAATTGCAAAAGGCACAGCAGAAAGACTCCTTAGGTGGTATATTCTGCAAGACACGATTCTTTCTGCGTTGCCTTTTCTCCTTGAGAGTGATCCTGCGTGTGTTCTCGAAGGAAACAGCAGCGTTATAGATGGTGTGTCTCCAGGCCTCCCGATTGGAGGCCAGAGCAGACCAGTTATGATGATCAATATGACCAAGGCTGAAATGCTGGTTCAGGGAGCCCTTGTATTATTTCTTCGGGGCTCCTCTCATGTGGCAGCCAGTGGCAAGTTCACCATAAAGCAAGATCTTAGGGAGGCGGTGGTCCTTCATCCTTGAGACGTGCCCTGCCCAACACAGCTGTGTTCTCAGCAACATGGCCTCTATACTTGTGATTGCTGCTTGCTGTAGAACAGATGTATTGGTCACATAATCTGACCAATGGATGTTTAAAATTGTACGGAGGCAGCGCTGATGGAAGCATTCTAGGAGACGCAGGTGGTGGCGGTAGATGACCCATGATTCAGAACCATACAGGAGAGCAGACAACACTATGGCTTTGTAAACACTGATCTTTGTACTTTTCTTCAAGTGTTTATTTTGCCAAACTCCTTTATGGAGTTTTCCAAAAGCTCTATATGCCTTTGCTAACCTGTTGTCTATCTCTCCGTTAATTTTACCATCTGAGGAGATGATGCTACCTAGGTAATTAAACTGCTGGACTGATTTAAGCTCTGATTGACCAATGGTGATATGGGGATGATGGAAGACTTCCTGAGGTGCAGGTTGATGGAGGACCTCTGTCTTTTTTAAGCTCACTTCCAGCCCAAAGAGCTCAGCAGCATCTGCAAAGCAGGATGTTAAACGCTGCAGAGCTGCTTCTGTGTGGGCGACAAAGGCGGTGTCATCAGCATAAAGCAGCTCCTGGACAAGATGGTTTAAGGTCTTGGTGTGGGCCTTCAGTCGCCTTAGGTTGAATAGACTTCCATCAGTACAATATCGAATGTAGATACCATCCTGACCATTGAGGTCTGCCGTGGCCCTTTGGAGCATCATGCTGAAAAAGACTGTGAATAGGGTAGGAGCGAGAACGCAGCCTTGTTTCACACCATTCTTAATTAAATAGGAGACAAAGCATAGTAAGTGCACTCAAAACTATTTCATTTCACCAGAAAACTAGGGGACTTCACTGGCTGAAGTACTCTAGGTGCAGTACAGTGAGAAATCCAAGGCTCTGTGTTTAGAAGGTTTAAATCTTCTAATCGTATTAACTTTTATTATGAAGTGTGTCAAAGTCCAAGGCAATGAGTTTTATATCTGCAACGTCGGTGTTACCTACATTTACTAAGTCTAGAGTTCCACTTTAGTTAGGCACAGCTCACTGCTAACAGAATGGATATAAAATGCAATCTCAAGAAAGAACAGCATTTACATCTGTGACTATAGAAGTGGTTATGTGTGAAAATTAAATACAGCATTTGGTTCTGCGCAGTGTACATCAGCCAGCAAAAGTCAGCCATGTCTGCAGTCCCAAACTAAGGAATGCAAAAAGCACACGGACTGTCCACCCTCTGAGTCCCATCTGGGACACAGGCAGCTATGGGTAAAGAGCTCTCATGGAGCTGAAATGAAGTTTTGCCCATTGAATTGGATTTTACGCGTTCCCTGTGAAATTGTATTCACAGAGACTCACTCTACTTCCTTCAAAGAATAAACTGCATTTGCTGAAATTAATCTAAACAAAACACATACTGTTTACTCAGTTGTCTTATGTCAGATGCTTTGAAACCCCACTTCTCAGCCAGTTGCTCTTGCTGATCACTTTGTTCCAAAAACACAATCTGAAAGAAAGAAAACATAGTTAGGTACTTTAAGCCTGTATCCCACATCAGCTTTATGTAAAGGCAAAACTAGTTATATCTTAAAGCAGATTTTACGCACTTACTACAAAGGTGACAGGTTTGCATTGAAATACTTGTTCTTCCTGACTATCAAGCATGATTTTGAAACACCTTTTCACAATCCAGTGAATAACCGCACCCATCTTGTAACTTGGAATAAAACAATTAATTCACTTTCAGGTAATACCCAGGCACATCTGCAGAGATTTCAGTGTCCACCGGCATTCCTGCAATGTAACATCATGCCAGCAGTAGTCACTTGCTGTGGAGGTGTGCAACAGCCTTATGGGAATACAATTATAGTATTCACAACCAAAGGGGGCAAATAATTTGCTTTGCCCAGCAGTAATTGACATCAAGCTAAGTATTTCTAATTTTCTGTTTGTGTCATTAATGTTAGGGTTCTTTTTATTTCTTCAGTGCCTAGGATGACAAAAGAAATTGAGGGGAAAAATGCAGATAGCATTTTCATTTTACAGAACAGGCTAAAAGGAGGCTAAGACCTTCATTTATTTCAAAACAAAACCCCACAATCTGGAACCAAACTAAACCCCATTTGACTCCTGGAGAACACTGTACTGATGATGAGTCGCTGTTGCCAAATCATAATTTTAGAACATTTTCTATTTCTTTTTAAATTCCATGGTATTTTAATCTACACATGACTCTTGGCAACTGAATTCTCAACTCTTTGATTTTCTAGTCTATCAATAATAGGCATGACAACTCTCCAAGAAACAAAGGTTGTGGCGCCTAGGCACTGCACTACAGGCTCCGTGTGGGATCCAGGTTTCCTCAACACTCAACAGAGTAGAGAACCCTGACGCCTCCCTTGGCCAAAGACTGCCTAAACTGGGCTTTTAAGAATTCTTGCTATCGTGATTTGACCCTGGTCAGATGCCAGGGGCCTATTAAAACCACTCCACTACCCTCCCTCCTCCCCTCTGCATCAGTGCAGAGGAGAGAGGAAGAAAAAAACAGCAAAGGAATTTCATGAATAGACATAAGGATTGAGAGAAGGCAGTATAACAGGCAAAACAAACTCAGAAGGACCACTTCCCGTGGTCCTTCCCACGGGAGACAGTCCTTGATGAACCTCTCCAGCGTGAGTCCATCCACCCCTTGGGCAACAGTTTCAACCTGTTGCCCCATGGATGACTTCCCCAAGCGGGTGCAGTTCTTCATGGGTTGAGCTGTAGCGATGTGGTCTCCCACGGGGGCCACAAGACCTACCCGGAAAAAACTGCTCCGCTGTGGGCTTCCCCCTCCGCGAGCCACAGGTCTTCAGCAGGACTTTGTTCCATTTTGGGCCTCCCACAGGGGGTCAGAGCCTCCTTCATGTATCTTCCTGCTCCAGCATGGACTCCTCAATAGGCTGCAGGAGGGTTTCTGCACTCCAGTGGTTCTTTATGGGAAGCCCCCCCCCCCCCTCCCTCCCTCCAGCTGCACCGGCCTTGGTGACTGCTAGTTCTCCCGGATTGGAATTTCTTCTGCGCGACAACCTTCTCTTCCCCTGTTCTTAAATATGTTATCACAGAAGCGCATCTCATTGGCTCAGCCTTGGGCAGCAGCAGGAAATCCCTCCTGGAACTGACTACCATAGGCTTTTCATAGGACAGTGAAAGCTTCTAGTGGCTTCTAACAGAAGCCACCCTACAGCCCTTCCCTGCTACTAAAACCCAGCTATAGGTTAAACCCATGACACTTGCCTAACCACAGCTTCTGCCAGAAACCAATTCATGGTCTTCTAACTCCCTTGGTATAAGAGCTCATTCCTCTAAATTCAAGGGAATAATCTTACTGCTACCAGTATCCTTCTGCTCCTGAGAAGGTGTCCATGCTGAGGGCTTGTATCACCCTTATAACAGGAGTTTCTAAGGCAGCAGTTAAAAAAATCCCCAAAGAAACACCAAACAAAAAACAACAATAAAGAGGTAAGACCAAGTAGTTGTAAAAAAGGTAAATAGGAAGGAATTTAGGAGGAAGGGCAAGAGAAGCAAAAAAGCATTGTTTGGCCGTTATTTGCATGCCATTTTTTTGTATGTGTGACCTCTTGCATAGAAATTTACCATTTTCTAAATTTTCCATAGAGGAAAATAAGCAAAGGCGGATAAACAAGAAGTTTTTAGCTGACTAGTCTTTTAAACAAACATATGGCTTATATGATTTACATGGTCTAAAGATCAGATGTTTTACATTTTTAGTTAGAAAAACATATTAAAATCACACCTTATAAATAAATACCACACTAGCAAAAATTGCAAGATTATAGTACTCCATTAATAATTCACTTGAAGCAGTATCTCTCTCCTTCCAAAGAGGAATACAGCCAACTTAATGAACTGTATAGCAGTGGAATGCTTGGAATAAAGACCTACTGAAATTACTGATGGGCAAAAACGAAAATGTCATTCAGATACTGAAATCAAAATGGATGCAGAATGAGTGAGGTTAGATCTGCTGGGGGAAGAAGGAGAAAGAAGGAGAAAAAAAAAGATAGAGAGAAACATGAAACACCAGATGACAAATTCTGGAAACAGGCGTTGCCATGGAAAAGCAGTGGCTGTTATGTACTCTTAGGGTGCAGATAAATAAAATACTTACATCATGAAAAAAATTAAGAAAATATGATCACAAGAAATCAATTCTAAACCTGACAACTTGTCCATTACGGTCAAATGAGACTATGGGTATATCAGCAAGACATCTACACTCCCTTCAAACAAATTTGTCAATGGAACTCCTTACTCAAAATGTTCCCCATTGCTTTACGATGAATTTGCTCTGGACACCTTTCTAAAACTGAATTCTTTAAGGTCTTTGAGGTCCTACACTTGGACATTTGCTCCAGTATTTGCTTGTGCATTCAAAGTAACCAACCTGGTGGACAGTTCTTTAAATTAGTTCTGGACCTTAACACTGTAGAAGCAAGAAAAAATTCTACAGCAGTGTCACTACAGAGTCAAGAAGTAAGTGCACAGGCACTTCAGCTTGTCAAGAAGGAAGTCGAGGAGAATAATAGGCACTTTGGGAAAGGTATATTCACAAAAAACAGCATCAACAGCTGCAAAAACGATTGCTCAAACACTTCTGTAAGTTCTCATATGCCACCCATGTGATGCGGCTAAAGGATCCAAAGTTGAGGAGCTGAGACCTCCCTAACTCAGGCCTTTTATATTCCAAGTGATGCCCAAAGCTCCTCCATAAAGCATAGGTGGTCAACTAAACTGTGCATCAAAGCTGACGCAGAAAACTTTGAGTGCCTCTAAGTACCACAGTGCAAATAACTTTGCTAACAAGAGAATGGAAAGTGAATGATATCGGCTGAAGGAACACAGTTTTTTTTGATCCAACAGTGCCTGTGTTTCTTTATTTCTGGCTATGAGATTCACAGATGAACATGGGAAGGGGTCCATCCCTTTTTTCCCCACCCACATGCTCTCTTCCCTCCCTGCTTCTACAGTTATTAAATGACTTTTGCATTAGAGACTTGAGGCCTATTGCTTGCCTAGTTCCCAAAACTGGAATTTGAGGCTTAATGAGAGACAAGAACACTTATTAGACTCAGTTGCTACGGGAACCACACAACCTGCTGAGAAATGTTAAGCAATGAACTCCATATGGATGTTGGTACCTTGGTACCTTCCTCCTTGTACAGCTAACACACATCCTCTTGTTGTCCCAATCGCTTAAAAAAAAACCACTTAAAAATATTAACTCTTATTCCACAACTAGCAAGAGTTTTCATGACTTCATCAGGAGCTTTTAGCTTAATACTTTTTCTGTTTACTTAATACTCTACTCAGCTAAGTTAATTACTCCAACATTTCAACGATAACTCACATTTTGCATCTGTGTCTGTTTTCTTTAGCCTAAGGAAGGCTGCTCTTTCTACTTGCTGTTCCTCAAGAATGACACTACACTGCTCTGCAAATCACTCAGTTAACACAGTCCCTGCTTTGCTAACTTGAAGATAGTTTGGGTTTTCACACCTGACAGCAGTGTTTTCCTTGCTAAACCTTCCTTTTCATCTACAGGCAAAGCAGAGAGAGCTGACATTTTATGTCCCTTGAAGGACAGGCAGGATCTCACACTGCAGTACGGGACCCAGCTGTTCACAAAAGCTGATCTGTTCACGGCGTCAGAGACCGCGCAAGATTTTTCTACAATGGAGTTAGCAACATGAGGCAGAAGAACAATATCTGTTTAGTTAAATTTACTTCTTTGGGAGTAACACTGAAGCAGGTTTGGTGTAAATTTGAATAATAAAGATAAGTAATTTTCTAACCACTATGCCTTTCTTGAAAAGCCAACTCTTTTGTGATTCCAGTGGTTGTTCTGAAAGAGATTACATTTCATGTAATAGGGAGGGAAGAGAGCATATGGGGGGATGCCAAAACTCACTGAAATAGTAAAATGCCAAGAATTTTTTTAAAAAAAGAGAATAAAATAAAAGTGATTGTTACCATACTCGGGTGGGTATTTCATTTTTGGGCAACACTGTTTTAATGGAAAATATTTGAAAGAAAAAAAAAAACACTTTCTGCCAGTTTATGCAAGGAAAAGAGTATACTGTGAATCCTTGTTCCCTAGGAGAAGAGAAGAGAGTGAGAGCACAGATCCCTACACATAGCTTCCTAAGGTATCTGTTTTTCAAGAAAATCACTTAAAAGTCTTGATTTCCTATGGATGCTGTGTAGAGACACTTTAATGGAAATTGCCATTAGAGAGAGTGGGATGGGGTATGACTTTTTGTCTTCTGCACCTGAGTTACACCAACTAAATCCTTTTTTCATTCAACTCTATTGTTTTTAGTGGACACCAGCCATATATAATTACGTAATTCCCCTCCTGTACATCAAAACACAGATTCTCACAGACTTTGATACACCTTGCACCAGGCATCTATAAAAGATGATCCTCAACATCTATAAAAGATGCCTGGAAACAGGTCCTCACAGACATGTGTGAATAGAGAAAATAAACACTGTTAGGTCTTAAAATGTGCTTTGCACAGATTTCAAATGTTACTGAAGCCTGACACAGTGAAGCCTGTTATTTAGCCACAAGAAAGAAAATTTTACATAGGGTGCCCACATATGTTATGGAGTCTATAAGAAATCACTAATCTACCTACACGACCTGCACTGTGAAACTGAGTTTCAAGTGTGATGCTGTTAAGGGAATGACACAGCTTCCCTGCCGGACTCGATCTTGCATTATCAGTAAGTGCAATGCTTTTTTAAAGCTTGGCTTGTACCACTAACATCCCTAACTCTTTATGGGTATATGCCATGGGTTATTTTGCCAAGAAAATAAAAAAGCTCCACTAGGAAGGCTGTGCAGGGGGCACATTGCAATTACCCACAATCACTGTTTAGACACTTTGAGAATGAAAAACCTGCTTCTGAAACTGAAAGAAAACACAGAATCTGAAAGCATGTCCAGACGAGGCGCGCTGCTTTTCTGGGAACACGCAGCACACCTCAAAAACTGATTTCAGCTAACTGCAGACTCGTGCTGAGGGGACGCTCCATCTCGGTTACCTCCGGCTCCTGCAAGTGCGAAATCACTTCTCCGCGGCGCTTTCCCCGACGGACATGAGTGCGAAAATTTTCCGCTTTCTCACCACAGACCGGCGGAGCCAGCCCTGCCCCTCGCCACCCCCGGACGTGGACTCGGCGCTGAAAGGGGTTATTTCCACCGCCCCTCGCGGACCCTTGGGGCGCGCAGGACTCCCAAGGACCAGCTCACCGACGGAGCGAAGCGGGGTAGCCCCGAGGGGTTCACCGGGCACCCCCCGCGCCCCCCGCCGCCCGCACCGGACCGGCGGCACCCGCCCGAGCCCCCACTCACAGTCCCGTCATCGTCCACCCCCAGAAGGTGTCCGTGGAGGATCTCCATGGGTACGGAGGCGCTGGAGTGCACGAAGGTCCCCTTGAAGACGTGGGCGAGCGGCGGGCGCTGCGGGGAGCCCATGGCGGCGGGCTGGGCGGGCGGCGCTGCGAGCTGCCACCAGCGGGCTGCCGCCCCTCGGTGTCTCCCGGTGCCGCCGGCGGCTTCCTGGAGCTGTCACCATTTCCCCACCCCCTGGTGACTTTCTCTTCGGGGAGTGGTTTCGACGAAGGGAGGGCGGGAGGTGCCCGCGGGCAGTGCGAGGGGTGCTCTGAACCCGGAACCCTCCGCCTCCCCGACGCTGATCCCCTCTCCGAGGGATGGGTCCTCTCCCGTGCAAGGGTCGCGCAAGCCCGGAGCAATGCCCGGCGTGTTTTGGGGTCCCAGTTACTCCTTGGGAAGCGGTGGGTAAGCCGACAAGGTGTCTGTTAATTCTTTACTAGTGTCTGGCAACTCACTTTTGCAAACAACATGAAGGTTGTAACCACTTGCAAAAGTTTCATTTACAGTTGGTTGGGTTTGTAGGTTGGAAAAGACCTTTAAGATCTTCAAGTCTCAGGCAGATTCCTCGGTCCTCGGCCTCTGTGCGAGGCACGTTTGTAGGGTATAGGAGTAGAAAACAGATGCCTTCTGAAGTACCAGAACTACCAGAAATAGGCAGCCTCATTCAGTGAAGATGATCTACAGAAAAAGAGAGAGCAACTTCAGGAAAATGAAAGACAGGGAAAAACTAATTTTGTTAACTCAGAGAACTGTGTTCCCAGAACCATATTCCCTCCAGCAACCTAAGTCAAAGTATATCATGAACACATGCTAAGAGGATCACTATTGAAAATATTGGGATAAAACTTCAGAGACAGAATGATGAATACCAAGGATAACACCATGAATGTCCTCTGAATTCCTGTTTGAAGACACCCTTATTCATCAGCTTGTCAAGTTATGAATGAACTTGGCACCAAGGGCACTGACACTATTGCTCTCAAGGCTGCATTGCAAAGTTTGTCATTACATGGTTTATCATTAAAAGACCTTTGCACTTCCCACTGTGCTGACACTATACAAATGCATAGCAGATTATCTTTCCGACAAACTCTCCAGATTAGTGCTGGTAGGAGAGAGAAACACACTGGGAAATCACAGAATAAATTTAATTTTGATCTGCTATGGACAAGTCACCAGCCTTTAACTTGCCTCCTTTCTATAAGAATATGTTAGGTTGCTGAGAATTAAGTTTAAAAAAATTGTATTTACTGATATCAATGGAATGTCCTTACCTGGATTTTGAGATCAACTTAATTGGGCAATAAAGGGTGTTCAGAATAAAACAAACATGTGAAAGTGACTTTTACATACTTATATTGGCAATTGTTGTGATAGGTCTTGAAGTTTAAGATGACTTTACAAATAATATCCCAAGATAAAATAGAGTGTTTTAAGACACAAGGCAGTTTTTTGTTGTATTTCTATCTTCTTTGACATGAGAATCTAACATGCAAAAAAAATCATAAATTGGTCTTGCAGGTTAATCTAGTTTGGAGAAGAAGCAGGCATAAGAATCTTTCATGCAGTTTAGTTTGCTAACAGTAATCCGGCTTCCTTGAAGAACAGAATAATAAATGTTTAAAAATAGAACCAAAAGTCTTCTAAATTAGCACTTGCAAAATCCCTCTTCCAAAGTTGTTTCTCAGGCTGATGCTATTGTGTTTCTTAAGGCTGCAACTGAAATGAGCTGTATTCCAAGTTGTTACTCCAAGTGAGGAAAATTGGTTTTTGCTGTAGGAAGGATAAATAGTGAGAGAGAGGCTGTTTTTGCTATTGAATAATAAAGGTAGAGGGGGTGGAGATGAGAAATAGGGTGAAGGGACCAAGCCCTGCAGAGGTAAATTCGCTTGCTCTTTCTGTGAAGAGAGGAGTGAAAACAACTTTCCCCAGAAATAGCTGCAGCTCCATACAGCTTGCCTTTGCCCTGTTGGCAGCAACTAGTTTGATTTTCCTCTCCAGTGTGCCGCCCTAGGACAGCTGTGTGCTTCACTTAACGCAAATCAGGCTACACACAGCTTTTGGTTCAGAATCCCAAGCTCTTGTGCTGGCTGCTACCCAGACTCACGTACACTGCTGTCCAAAATAATATTCAGCAGAGCTCACAGTTCCCAAGAAACCTTTTGGTTGTGTTCAGTAGGGAAGTGGGCTGCTCTCGAGAATCTCATGCTCCTTCAACTCTGGTTTTCCATTGAAAACCTCAGAGATTTCCTCCAGCTTCCTTACAAAAAGAATGATAGTCCAGTGATTTCAGTGAGATATAATCCAGAGAGTATTTATTCAAGAGAAGAAAATAAAAAAACATTTACAGTTTCTTCCTTCAGCGCTTTTGGTGGAGAAATGTCAATAACAAACATTGTTAATGATAATTTGTTTCTGTTAGTGGGTTCCAAACACTCTGAAGTTGTATAATTTCACTGTCAAAAGAACTAGAGGTCTCTTCTGCTTTTTCCAGCTGTCACATGGGAGAGCATAGAAGTCGTGGAAGAGTGCTAACACCCTTCTCTCCTCCCAGAATTTTTTTGGTTTTTAGTTTGCAACAGTTACACATGCATGCCCTAGATACTTGCATGACTCAGGGTGAGACCTTGGCCAAGTATGAAAAACTGAGTCATTCTTCCAGAATATTGTAAGAATCTTACACTGATGTATGTTTAGTTTTGCTGGGATATGCTGGGCCAGGCACTTCACCTTTTGGGATAGAAATGTAATGCTCAGTTGTGACTGTTACATAGTAATTAACTCAACAGTGAGTGAAATACCATGCTTTTTCTTTTTTTTTTTTTTTAATTGATTAAGAGTCTGAAGAGAGAGATTTACCTTCTTTAAAATTATGCTTTTTTAAATAGCATTCAAAATAAATCTTAATTTTCAAAACTCTTTGAAATTATCATGTATGTGTTAAGACATTCAATAATTAATAATATGTAATTTGTTCTAATGCTGTTTTTAAAAAAATCTGCCTCACTATTCACTAGTTTATCAGACTCTCTGTGTCTTCTAAATTATTGACTTCTGAGCAATTATAGAAATGACTCCTTAGTTGAGTCCTGAAGCCAAACATATTTCAGATCAGAAGAATAATCAGTCAATATACTTCCAGGAGGACGGGGAAGATTTTAATAGGATTAGAGTGCCTTCTTTCTCCTTAACACTTCCAGTTTCTGATCTTTTTCTCATTTGTCACACTAAACAAATGAATAATTCAATTACTTGTTTCAAAGTTTCAGGGCACCTAAGCTGATCCTCCAACATCTGAGAAATAAAAAGAAGAAGAAACCTGCTTCTCTCCACTGCTTTCAAAAAGTAGTTGATGGGGTATTTGCCACCAGCCAAAAACACCTGTTGTCAAGAGTCTGTTGAGGCCAGTGCCTGTGGAGCCTGAGCACCAGATCACAAAAATTATTATTATTCTGATCTAGCAATGAATATTATTACAGCATTTATTATGAAAAATGTACCTTGTCTATAATTTGTAACATAGCAACTAGGTAAACGGATTGAAAAAATACAGTTTACTTATCTGCTATTAAGAGATTTTTTTTTTTTCTGTATAAGAAAGAACAGATTATGTGGCTAATACTTGGGATTACTCTGAAAAAAAAATTAAGCATGATTTAAATACCTCTTCTCAAGTCTGAAATTAAGTTGAGAGCTAGGTACTAATCCAGCATAGGCTACTGCAGACACCTCATTTTCCCACAAACATTTATATAATCAGAATCTGTTTATATTACTTAATTTTTCCAACTCCATCTAAAATTGAAAATTGACCCACCCAAAAAGAGTAAGAAGCAATGACCACACACACAACTCCATGTCATTTACCACCATGGGTATTCACTCTTCAGGTCCCAGATAGAGCTTTCAGCCTCTGATATCCAGTTCTAGAAAGGCTTGGGAAGCCAAGCCTCAAGCACTGCAAGGGGAAGCTGGAGTTACCTTCTGATGCTTCTACCTCCAAAAGGGGCCATAGTACTGTCATAAAATATCCCATAATTAGAATTTAGAGATGGTGTGTCCTACTTATTCACTGATACATAATTAACTGAAACACAGATTGGCCGATGTTAGTTCTAACACTTCTGAAATTTTTCTCTTTTACTGCCAAGGCTTGTTCATAACAGGAATTGTAGTAACTAATCTAGTAAAGTTCTTTAGAAGAGCCAGGAAATATACAAATATCAGAAAAAGTCATCTCTCACTAGAAGCACTAGCATGAATGGGTGAAATATGTCAAAAGATTTTGATGGTAAACTTCTTTCTGTTTTCCACAAGACACACAGGATAAATCAACACATTTGCTAGACTTAACCTCTGATCATGTTAAAAGAAACCAGAATGGAATTTGGGTGTCTGCTCTTGTTAACAGGGGTTTATGGAAAACAAATTGGACATGACTTCCTGTTCCCTGAGACATTTCACTGTCAAAACTTGATCTGTGGAATTACATTGCATGGTGCATGCAACACACTTAATATAATGAGATCAGCCGATCTCTGGTCATGGCAACATTATAAACCATTCTATGCAACTGTTCAAAAGTCACTCTCTTGCTAGTCTCATTTTCATGCTTAAAACCAATAAAAAATAATATTCTTTATATGCTCTTAAGTGACTAGAGATTTACCTAACTTTCAAATGCTAACAGAACATAAAACACTTCAGACATGTAAACATAAATAAATTGTCATAAGGAATTCAAGTGAGCAGTTACTATTGATTTCCCATTTATTGCTGTCCACAAGTGAACACTTTTCCTGCTTTATTTAGGAGCAAATTCCAGTAATACTGGAATTATTTTCTTCTTAAGTGATTTGTGAACTCTGAACCATGATGACTAATCTAATTTAAAAATTTAATTAATAACATAGGCATCCAAACATACTTCTGTAAAATCACTTAATAATTGCAATGTATCAACCAGCAATTGCATTTCTAAGCTGTTCAAAGGATCTCTTCATGTGTGCCAGTGTTCAGTATAGTAGTAAAATTGTCATGAAAGGTTTCATGATCATGTTGGAGACAGCCTACTAGAAATATAAAATTAATAACACAGTATTATTATTTCGTCACTTTATTCCAGAAGGTAATAAAACATAAATGTATAAACTGTGAGAATTAAAAAAAAAAAATTAAAAATCAGACACTTATTGAATTCCAGTGGTACTAGCGATGTGTTTAAACTGAATTAACTAACTTATTCACAGGCACATAGTTTCATTGAATCTCCAGCAGAGGAAAGAAAGGACTTGCCAGTGTGGGTCCAAATGAGGACCGCAAAGAGGAGGAGGGGACTGAAGCACCTCTCCTATAAAGACAGGCTTAGAAACTTGGAATTGTTTAGCCTGGGGAAGAGAAGACTAAAATTGAGATTTTATTTTGTCCTTTCAATATATATTTTTATTACATATATCTTATATAATTATTTCTTCTAAGAAAGACTTTACCAGGGCTTTTAGTGATAGCATAAGGGGTCACATTTTTAAACAGAAAGACAGTTGATTGAGGTTGTACATAAGAGAGAAAGAGGTTCTGTACTATAATGGTGGCAAGACACTGGAGCAGATTCTCAGAGAAGCTGCGGATGCCACATCCCTGGAAGTGTTCAATGCCAGGTTCAATGCGGCTTCAAATAACCTGGACTATTGAAAATTATCCCTGCTCATGGCTGGGGACTTGGTCTAGATGAGCTTTAAAGGTCCAAAAACACTCAAACCACTCTGTGATTCTAAGTAGCTGCCACCTTCTGAAGATACCGGTCTTTTTCCTTTTTTCC